TCATCAAGCCCAGTCGTCACGTGGCCACTCTGCTGCGCATGCTTGCCGACTCCCGGGTACTCAGTGTTGGCGAACTGGACGAGCTGGTGGCCTTCATTGCGGAACGTCGAGCTCGGCTCACTAGCCAGTACACCTCCGCCTTACCGGGTACTTTTAGCGAAAATAAAGTACCATTACTACTGCCTCCTCGCAGGCTGCCATTGCGTGATCAGCGGCAGCAGATGGCTGCTGATGCTGCCGATGTCGTGACTAAAACGCGAGTCTTACTACCCTCGCCGTCAGCAGCTACTGCTGCAGTAGATAAAGCGCATCGAAAAGTTTTACTTTAGGCATCATGCATTTCTCATTTCCCCGTGTAGGCCTCCCCCCGTAGAGTATTACTTTTTTACTTCTTATTTTTGTACTGTAAAGATTCCACAGAATCCAGAGTATTTATCTAGCGTTCCTGTTGTGTTCGGTTGATCCCAAAGTCATCCTTTTTACTTGGGGCGCTTGCCGACTCTCTCCATAAGCGAACTTCCCACGTCCATGGTCAGCCTTTTAAAGCACTACTATGTCGTCGTGGTAGAAGCGCAGGCTGTTGTAGCATGGTTTGCAAATATCCATGTTGTGAGAGGTCTTCTGGGTTGACTGGCTGATATTAGTCGCGCTTGCGTTGGTTTGTTAAAACGGAGTCGGTTGGCAAAATGTTTCACGACCTTATCTGCGCGATATTTTTTTCAGGCTATTATCCAGGGCCATTTTTTCTTGTCTTGTAAGCGAGAAGGAAACAGGGTGGCTTTGGCCCTGACAAACAACTCGGGCCGAATATTCGCAACCACTTACGCAATCTACAATGGCAAGAGGCGGTGGTTGTTCTTCTTCTTGAAATCTTGTCTCGGCGTTCGACCGAATAACCAAAACTGGCTTCTTGAAGACCCGGCGATGTATCTCATTAACGTCGGATTCAAGCAGGAGTTCTGCCTTAAACTCGAGGGAACAGGTGTTGTCGTTTGACAAGACACTGCTCTCTCCTTAATTGCACGGTGGAGTGCTTCTGTTGACGTCTTTCAGAATTAAGAATGACTCCTCACAGGGCAGTATTTTATTCTTCCCCGTGAGCGATCACTTTGAAGACGAACGTACTAATGGATGACTGTATAATTACTAACGTCAAAGGGCGCGGATCACCTCATTTCCTGCCGTCTCGAAGGGCGACAGTTGGAGCTTCCGTTTCGATGAAGTCCATCGTATGTTCCACAACAGGATGATGCAGGGACGATGACTTGCGCGTGAGTTTGTTTTGGGTGATAGTAGACTTGCAAAGCCATTGAAGCTTGACTTATTCCGCCAATCAGCTGCCTCCGAAATAACTACAACACGCTCCTACAGTGCGCGGCCGAAGAAGCAGGCTGTTGGACGAGACTACGAGCCAAGGCGTTTTCTTCTGCTGTTGCAAAACAAGTTCTACGCCCTGATGGCCGAGGGAAGGTTGGCTGGAATGATGCGGCTTTAGCTAACACCTTATTTTGTATTCTTGCTGCCTATCGGGAACACCTGCTGATGGTAATGCCATTCTTTCACATACCCCCCGCCTCCGTCATCACGGCCGAAGAAAGCCAACCGGGAAGTCAACGGATTTTACTTAGCGTGGAATGAATGCTTTGAGGGAGTCGTTGACCTCCGACTTTCGAGAGCGGAACGCCACCGGAATAACCACAAGCACTGCCCAGGAAGCATGGTAAGCGACTGCAGAACACGTGTCCTACTCCTTCGTGCTGCCGTTCATTTCAGATCTGGCTAATCCTTCACTGGTGTTAATCTACACCTAATAGGGGTTATCTAGATCTGAGTTGGACGACAACCAAACCAGTATCCAGACAGGTACAGCTAAGCAAATTGGTCCATCTACTGCAGGAGGTCACTGTGTGCCATTAGAACCGAGGGATCTGCTATTTGTGCACCACCAATTTGAAAGCAGTGGTACCTGCAACGCACATTTTCCAACAGTGATTTTACTTGACGATCTTCGGTTGGTACTCCACAGACTAACGCCATCGGCTCTCCCGTTTACCAATAGAGGCGGTCATCCAAATCATTATTTGGGAGCCTGTGCGGAAAAATTTGCCATTCGGCTTCTGGATGTTTAAACATATTTGAAATGCTTCCGAGGACGTTAACATCTTGCCCATACAGCCGCCAACTGGCGCCTGTGTCTACATTTCCGGGAAATGTGCCACCTCATGAATCGCCTTGGTAAGTACATCCAGATCTGTCCTTCCTTAGGTCTCTTCATTTCTTCCAAGGCAGAGTAGACGAACTTTCCTTGGGTGCAGGACGATGCATTTCCTCTTCAGGTCATGGACTAGAGCTGGCTTGAATGAAACATCGCATTAATGCGGAAGACACCCATCAACCAAACACGCAGCGTTGTGATCCTGCCACCCCCATTCTGAATCGTTGAACGCTCCTGTCCAATTTCGTTTTTGCATGTAAGCATAATTTGTTGCTTGGAGCGGGACCTCTTCGTTTGCAATCGGGTCGGACTGTTGTCATCGACTTACTTGTGAAACCGAAAAGTTTCGATCCCTTCTTCGCCGGTGGACTCCATTTTCCCTGATGCCTTCAGGTCACTTCCGTTTGCCTGCTGACAGCGCTATTCGTGCTGAAGAAGCAGGAACGCGTGAAGACAACTTCGATTTCTCATTCCGTCTTGAAAACTTGTAGGATCAAGAAGTCATTGGAAAATTGACTTTTCCAACTAGATTCTGATTGCCCTGCCACAAAGTTCACCCCCGCCAATCAAGGCAGGAGAAAATGGTGTATTAATGTATTCAATCAAACACACTTCAGTGGCCAAGTGACTACAAAGGTAACTGACCCGGGTGCGAAAGTCGTATGGACTTTCCGCATGCAGTTTTTGCCACAATAAATCCCAGACTCTACGGCTGCGTTGTTTGCCTGCTTTCAACTGAGTTCTTTTCCGCATTTCCCAGCGGCTGACTGATGGTTTACATCGAAAGCACGCGGTCATCGATTCCACACAATTTCTGGTCTAATTAGCGATATCAGTTGTACTTACTTGTACTTAATACGGCTGGGATCATGCCTGATCTAGCCTCTCTCGAGGATGTCGCGGATTGTA